GGGGGGGGGGGGGGAAGTTTGTATTATAAAGGTCACCAATCTAGGTATTCTATGCACAAAAAAGGCACCCAAACAACAGAGAATAGGACAAAAAGCAATTCATACATAGTGATACATAATAAATAGGCGCAAAATGCAAGATTGGAGACCTGTTTAAAAAGTAGCCATATGAAATAAAAGCCATAGGTAATTAGATCAAACCAGTTAGAGAAAAAGGCCATTTCTATTAGAAAGAAACAGGGGTAGAACTTTAAATTAAAGTACAGAATTTAGTTTGAAGTACAGTGCACAAGCACTGGGTATTTGATAGATTGTACTAAATATAAAATATATGTACAATGCACATAACTGTTCTATGGTAATGTAGCATATACAAGTTGAATATAGCATCAGGAGACCATACATCTAACTATGACAGATAATCCCTTATTTATTAATACTTAATGGAAGTTTTACTAGTGCATGCTAACTAAACAGCTATTTCCAAACCATTTGAGACAAATCCTTTACTCTAAATCCATGTACCACTAAATTAAGAGAAGAAAGAAGCAGCAGATGGCCACACTTCTTTAGTAAAGGGCAAATCAACACACAGCATGCATTGTATGCCATACAATAATAAATAACATGAACCGAAAGTGCAATATAGTTCAAGAAGGTGAATTTATCAAATGTTTCACCTCAATACTCACTATGTGACAGAACATTAAAGAACACCACAGAGCAGTTGATTAAGATTATAATTACAGAAAGGTCTGTACTATGTATATAAAGCGTTAGCTTTTCCACTACCATCAAGAACTATGCAGAGAACCACAAAAGCAAATCATGGAAAACAAACCACACATTTCTCAAGCCATCCTTTCTCTCAGCACAGCACCACAAGTCTTAATACAGCCTTGAAATGTCATTTTAACTTCTGAAAACTGGAACATCTTGAAATTCTGATGATGTGTTCCTACAAATAACTTTAAAAAGGTTTAGTTTCTTGCACAATCAGATTTCCAAATTGAAAACCCCAAAACAACTAAACATGCACTGGTTTGAAGAGTGAAGGCGACAGAAAAAAAAATTGTAAATCCACCTGAAACGATGTGACACAGGTTTCTACAACACTTCGGTGTTTTGAAAATTGTCAAAAACCATCAATGAAATGAATAAGCTTGAATTTTTAATGTGTGAAGCAATTTTACACAGCTTTTATATTTGCTTTCAAATTATCACTACAGATGCTGCTAAGGAACAAGATTAAAATGTACCTTGATGCTCCAGGCAGAAGAGCAGTGAAAACAAGTTTATCAGATTTCTGCATTTTGCAGACCTATCTATACCATTTGGATCCCAGCATACAGCGTCCTCTCTGGAAAGCTGTTCCGTTGCTCTGATGATATGATGTGTATCAGATGCCATTTGCTCTTCCAGAAAGCAAGAGATGCTTGTATTTTTAAATGTAATTTGACCACAGTCAGATTTGTCTATTAATGGCTATTATGTAGTTAGACGATTATTTTTTTACTATTACATTTTTATCATTTAAAAAATTGCTTTAAGGCTTATATATTAACATACATCTTTAAAACACAATTCTAAAATTAAGCATACTTATCAAACTTACTAGGGTTCCCAACAGCACAGTAGTCATTCATTGTTTCTCAAATATGGAATTTATTTATTTTCCTCTGCCCATGTTTACAGAAAAAAAAAAAAAGTATTTTTAATTAACATTAAGAAAGGCTCAGTCAGGTAGCTACCACTACTTTTCACTATTTTACTTCCTTTTCCTGACTACTTTAATTACATTTTGGTATTTACTAAAAGTTTCTTCTCATATTACTGTCACTTGTATAAAATAAGCTCACTACCTCCACTTACTCTTATAACACAGAAATTCCTGTAAACATCTGGTAACAGCAAAAAGAGTCTGAAGTACAGGTTGGCACAGAATTTCACATGTAGAATTGTGCCATTCCATGCCTGTTTCACTTTATCAGAACTGGTGGTGAAGGCTAAAATTCATTGTGTATCTGAAAGAGACAACACTGCAAACCAACATGCACAAAAATCCTGAACACTCAGCACAAATGTTATCCTCTGCTTTCAACGGGGTTTGAAGATGCTCATGGAAAATGACAGATCACTTTCTAGCTGTTGAATGACCATCCATCATTAAGAACTGCATGTGTATCGCAAGTCTTCAGATTCTAATCCTGAACTCCAGCCAAATTCTGGGATTAGATACTTGGTTGAAGTCTGTAGAGCTGAAACTTGATTCAGAGTTGTATTAATTTCTCCTTGTACTTTTTATGTACTTATCTACAGTTCTGACACTTTATTAATTCCCAGATGTTTGAAACCAAAATGTAATTGCCACAGCCTCCCATAGAAGTAATTTTAGATATGGCTGCCCTTAAAAAAGGCTTAATTTCCCTTTATATAAGGAACATATTAAAAGACACCATTTTCTCCCTGCTAAAAGAGAGGGCAAACACTAGTGTTGAGTGAAAGTGTCTTTCCATTATGACAAATTAAATGGAGTTTTGTGGGTCATGATTCCTCTTTATCATAACCACTAGCAACAAACATACATGAATCCATAGACACAAGATAACTCTCACTGCATAGAAATCCAAGTCCCACAACAAGCTTCTCATGGCTGTATGACAGGCTCACTACAAGTATACAGTATTTGTGGAATTACCCATATAGCCTTATTTCCCACGTGATCATATTAAAATTTTAAACCCCAGCATTAGTAATTTCACTACCACGTTTGTAGTGTCATTGCTTACCTAGAATACCTACAAGAATAAACTCCAGATTTTCCCTTCTTTTACTATCTTCACACCACCCTACCAAACATATACATACAAAATGGCAGTGTTTCCATCTACCACCTCTAATACTATTTCTTGAAAACTTTAAGAGACCAATATGAATGTACTATTGAAATGACAATGCCAGTTACCTGCAAAAGAAAGAAAAACAAGGAAAACACATAGTGCTTATTTAAGTCATGCTTCTATGCCTGCCTTAAAGCTATTTACATAGTTGGAAACCACTTTTCCATCCCTACCTCATATTGAAACCAGAATTTTTGTCACAGTACCAATGCAGAAGAGAATGGATAAAGTTAAATTAGTTTCTGTCGTAGTCTTATCACTGAATGTATTAAGAACAATGTTATTTGGTCTAATTAAACACTATCGAACCCATCTTGAGAACTTGAAAGTTACACATTCATAGAGAACAAGTGAAAGATTTGCAGAAGGGAGTCCCACTGTATTCCTAAAGCACTGTTCACATAAAATGATCGACGAATGAAACAATTAAGTGTTTAACCTCGGTCGCATTTGTTCCTCCTCATTCATGATAAATTAATTGTCTAATTCATTATGCATCTACAGTATACCTTCTGTTAGGTATAGCTAAGAATGGAGCTAGATGTACTGTTCCAACTGCAACAACTGCCTGTTAAGCACTGTTTCCCCAAATTCATCAATACTGTCTGCTGGACAGAAGATAGCATCTGCTAGAGTAGCTAGTGACCGTACAGTTTCATTTACCCAGTGCTGTTGAAGTGATGCTGGCTTACAAACCAACCAACCAACCAGAACTCAGGGAACAAGCAAATAATCCCACATTTTGACTAGGAAGCTACACATGATGCCATCAGCAATGAGGGTGCAGTAACCAATTGCAGGACACAAACTTTAGTCAGTTCAGCCAAAGCCTAAGAGAGATAACTATGGTTTCAGAACATAAAGCCATCTTTAGATGCCTACTTTACAAGTTGAGCAAGTGAGAAAACTCTGCATGCAGAGCGTGTGATTTGCAAAGGGTCACAACTTGGTC